CATATTTTTGAAACTAATCAGTTTGCTGTGCCTTGTCCTCCATTTTGGACAGACTTATTATAAGTTCAGAATGGCAAGTAAATATAATACTATATCTGAAATAATATAAAATGTAAACACATATTTGAAAGAGAACTTATAAATACATTGGGAAAAAAGGACGTGGCTGTTTTGCACATTTCTAAGGAAAGATTGGGAGTGGCGGAGGGCTGAGGACCTGTGCTAATGTTATTGGAGGGGGAAGGGGCCTAGATTCCTGAGCCACCAGGCTCCGGATCTCTGACTGGATTGACCCATAAGGTGGTTAAACACTGAGGTTGTTACTGGTAGTTGGTATGGGCAAATACCATGCCGATGTTAAGCACACTTTTTGAATTAATAACATCGCACAACGTTAAGGCAAATGCTTATCTTTCAACGAGCAAGATAGCTAGGTGGTCTACATAGATCTCTGGAGACAAGTTTAATGTAGAGACTGCCTATTTGATTTATACTGATAATGGCTGTGCCATGAGCTTCGCATGCACGTCTCTTCAGCAGTTTCAGCTGGTGGTGAGCCCTTACAGTTAAACGTTCAGGAGTGCTCACCTGTTTGATATCAAAATTGAGGCTTTCTTTCATGAAGGTTGGCAACGAAGTGAGAAGGGTATAATTAACGTAGTTATTGCACAGATGACCAGCAATCACAGCCCACAGTGGTCCAGATGTAAACATTTTTAACCAAGGCACTCGCCGCACCTGTCAAAAGACAAAGATTGTTCAACACAGAATACAACTTGCACTAACGTTTACAAAGTGGTAAAATTATAGAGATGTCTTGTTTTATCACTTACTACATGTGCGCGCCTTAAAGAATAGTGTTGTGTACTTAGTATCTCATGGATTTTCAACTATTTATACAAAAGTAACTGTCACATACCGCTCGTGTCGCGTGCCGGGTTTAAGGATTTCTCCTTAAGAACCAACAGCACTCTGAAATAGAATAATTTTGAGGTGTCGGCTCGTATTGGTCTAAAGGGTATCCCGTGGCCAATATACACCCAACCTATTTCAGGAGTAGGGCAACTCAAATTATGACACTACAGAATATCTAATATTCCTTCCAGAAAATAACTTGTACTTTTCAAAGTAGAATTCAATCACAAGGCAAAATACGTCTGGTCTCTCTCTGGAAGTCGGCAGTGAATGAGGCGGGACGATTTTGCGTCGCGTCCCCAGAAAGAAGTGCTAGATTAGTACGCCAAGGAGTAAAAAGGCTTCTCGGAATTCTGAATATTAATTAAGAAAATATCTACCCCACAACTGTAAGTTTGAAAATGTAAACTTTACAACACATCTAGAGTCTATAGAAAGATCTATTACGCCAGATAAAGGTATACATGAGGAACTATATACCCACCGGACAGGTCTATATTTGAATTGTGACCTGTCCGCTAGGGGCGTTAACGTCACGAATAGTCGAATGTGTAGGGGTGGGTTTGATTGCTTCACGACAGTAACACAATGTAATCTGTATATAAACCCTTTAAGGTAAGTGATTTTCTAGGTCTATGGAGGCCAAATGCATTGGCCGAACCATTGCCAATTTGGCGGACGAATATGTTTTGCTTTTGGGGTTTTGAAAATTTGAGCTGACTGCCTTATTCTTGACTCGGTTTCCAGAGCTAGAGGACGGATTGACGCCTTGCTTGTCTATCTGTTATATCTCCTTGTGGTAAGTAACGATTCAAACGGGAACGTCCATAGAGGATGTGTGAGTTTGTGTAATTTACGTAAACAAAGTTACTTTGCTCTGCTGCTGACAAGGAGAAGTGTGTAGTCATGAGACAGCAACCGAAATAGGCAATCGACACTGGGATGCACCAAATTGATTGTTTCACCTACAGGCCGGTAAAGTATAGCCATCGGATTCCTGTGGGGATCACCAGACAGTTTGAGCATAATGTTTCTGGGATTCAATATTTTTTTGAACATGTTATATGTATGTATACACAGTTTAAAAGGAAAAGAAACAGACAGATCAGGATAGACTTATTTGTTAGGTACCGAGGGTTTCTCGTGGTATTTCGTTGGCATGTATGACGCCTTGTCCGACTTGGACCTACGTAAACAACGCAATGGTTTGGAAAGAACTGAGACTGTTGCGTCGTGTTTCTGATGCTGTTACGCCTTCTATACATTTTTATGTTTGTGATCGTTGTATACTTTTATGAGTATAGGTACTCTACTATGAAAAGGAAATGGAGTTGTCCCTCTATAATTGGCACATGCAAACTATCGCTGTCACTAGAGTTTAGCATTAGACAGAACATAGTTTCTTTCTAACCTCGCTGCTGGTGACCCTGTGAATATGGACCTGATAGGTCTATAAAAGCCTAGCACTGACATTTAAGCTTATAACGTGAGTGAATGTGGATTGGGGAGGCGGTGGGCGGGGGAGGGGTTAGGGGGTAAGCAGGGTACCGTATTTGGTGTTTTTGCTAACTATGGTTTCCCTCTTTGTCACGGGATGGTACTGGCCTCTCCGGAGGCCAACACAACAATTATTGTTCACCTATGCATCAAGTGGGACCAATATACAGCAGGTATTGCAAATAATCCTATGTGAACACCACACTCACGCCTATGCTACAATAATTAGGTTTACAAGTGACTGATCACCAGTCAGCTCTTACTTGATGTTCACTATCAGCTAGTGTCCGCAACCCCGAAACATTGTATATGACACCAACAACTGCCACTACTTAGAGGGTAGAAGGAATATTTTGAACTAAAAAATTTGTAAAAGGGAACCTTCTCTCTTGTGTGTATTATTAGCTGCTGTCAGTATCAGAACTGTATTAAATATATCACAAGTGTTCCTGGATCTGCCGAGCTTCAACCATCTTTACTGTCAACCTTGGGAAGATGCTGCACTCCAAATGAGTAGGACTTCCTGGACAGATGAGGTGGTGGTCAGAGATTGCACGCATCCATATTACTGAGCACCAGTCACCTGGTTCCATAGTTCATCAGTTTTGCCGTGATGATAGTTGCTGTTGCAATTTGCGAACCAGGAGTCAGTGTGGATAAGGACATTCTTCAGTTTATAGAGATTTGTCATTGTCTTGCCGAATTCATCCCCTTATACCTTTATCTGTGTTGTACTGACTGCATCATATATGGTTATTTTGAATTCACTGGTTAGTGCCCAGTCTTTCACAGTTCTTTAAGTTAGCTGGAATGAGTGTACTATGGTTATATTATATTCTGTACTGTTTTATTAGTAGAGGATTCCTATCTAGTCTAGGGGCTTTTAAGTAGTGAGGAGATCCGACCAGTTTGCGCCAAGGAGTAATTATATATTCAGTAGTGCCATAATTTGAGTCGGCTCACTCCTGAAGTAAGCTGAATGTTTATTGGAGCTGAGGGATACCACCTAGACCATTGCGAGTCAACATCTCAACACATAAACTACTTCAGTGTGTCTTTTTCGTTCAAATAGCAACCATAATAAAGACACGTAACACAAGCGTCATATGACACCCACCCATCACCGTTGCGCAGTCGTTCATGGACGTTAACGACCAGTGAAAAGAGATGGATTTATCCACAAACTTGATGGTGCTCGCACCTTTCAGTAGTTAGTTTCGGTGTTAGATTTAAATTTCATCCAGCAGTCAAACTGTGGTAGATGTTGATATCAGTGTATCATCGCTCGGGGATATTTGATTTCAGGTCGTCAGAGGCAAACTTTCACTTTTGTCAACTGTAACGCCTAGCACATAGCCAAAGTTAACGCGATGTTGGCTGTTAACATTTTGTTATCTCCGAAGCACGTTAGTTTTGTCTTCAGGAATAAAAACGGATGTTCAAAGTGATGATTATAGTTCCATTTTTTTAATTTGGATTAAGACTAAGTGTGCCTTTTTTTTAACCGTTACTGCTAATTATACTTCATACAAAACATACCCAGTCAGGGTTAAGACACCATTGGGGCACTATCGTTTTTTAGTTACTTCAATGACGTCACGAGGACGTCAAATGACAGTCAAATAATTTCGAGAGTGGTAAGATAGGGCATTCCAGTTGTGTTTCCAGCTACCTTCCTTTTGGAGCGCGTTGCCAAGGCTTAAACAGGCTTTGCCAAGGGACGCGTTTTGCGCCTCTTACGTGTTGTTTTTGTTCCAGTCTTCATAGGGGCTGGTCATGTCGCCGAATTCAACTATGGAATGGAGCAACTACTTACGGGAGGTTTATGCCAATACATTATTTTTTAATCCTGTAGTTATCGGCGGAGGAGAGAATACCACTGGTACAATTTTTTAAAGTCTGCAAGGCGGAAATATCACGTGGACGTGTGTTTCCACAACAGTGGGTATTCGGTGGAGTCTGTCGCGAGACCAGCGAATGCTTTATGTTCTGCGTTCCAGACAGAAAAGCAGATACTCATCTGCCGATCATTAGCATAAACATCAGACCAGGCACACGACAGTAGTCTCCGACATGTGGCGTGCGTTAAAAAAAAAAAAATGAGAATATGCCTAGATTGACGCATCTCACACCTCATTCACTTCATCAATTTTGTAAACCCTGCTATAGATACGCATACGCAATGCATCGAACGTGTGTGGATGTCGGCAAAGGAGAGAGAAACAAGCGCCAGACCGACAGACATTTATTAGACTCCTAGATGGGAGAGTTTGTGGCTTAGAGGCTCTCAGCGCTGCTAACATGAAACATTGTTGTGATTGTCAATTCGTTCGTGAACCCATCAGTATACATCTAGAATGACTGGCCCCTCCTAGCGGCACCGCCCCCCCCCCCCACCCGTCCCACCCCAGTTGGCAATTTCTTCAATTGCACACAGAGTTTCTCCGACTGCAGATAGAGTTTCACACACACACAAAACATATTGTTAATCACAAATAATTGTGTACCCGTGTATCATCCCTATGTTTGTTTAAATAATTAATACTTGGGTGATCCGTTGCTAAAAGTGTGCTAAGAGCTGAAGTTTACAATTTACATTTAAAAAAAACGCAGGACCTTTCGTTTATAAGGCAGATGTGATTCAAACTACACTAGACATTCACCTGACAGAGACATACAAACATCACCAGTATTTACACTAGCCGATTGCGCACCAACACACACAAATACGCCACACCAAAACACAGCACAATTGCACTGCCTGAAATGGTCGACCGATCCGTCAGCTGTTGATTTCCTCAGGATTTCCTGTTCTTGAGGTAATTTTTAAAAAAGCACCACCATTGGTCTTAGCCCCCGCCAAACGAATTCATTTTTCTCCTTGCTGCTTAGACAGCTTGGGTGTGGGTTTCGGCTTCCACTCACTACGACAATCAGTACTGGTGCTCTTGTAGGTTTTTTGTGCGAAATCACTGGGCACTATCACCCATCACTGTGTTTCTGATCGGTACTGACATCAGACATCCGTTATTTCCTGTTCGTTACACACAAATATCATATTTGTGTTCCCAATCGACACAGACATCAATCATCATTAAGTTCGTGATCGGTACACACAAATATCATCCTTGTGTTCCCGATCGGTACACACAAATATCATCCTTGTGTTCCCGATCGGTACACACAAATATCATTCTTATGTTCCCGATCGGTACACACAAATATCATCCTTGTGTTCCTGATGGGTACACACAAATATTATCCTTGTGTTCCCGATCGACACAGACATCAATCATCATTGGTTTGGTTATATAAATTGACATAAATCGGTTACATCATAAAAAAAAATTAAAAACATTATTGTTACATTTACAATTAATTGGTTATTTGAATTAGTGTTTAACTATGTCATGACCATACCACGTGTCATGTTTACATTTGTGTGTGTGTGTGTGTGTGTGTGTGTGTGTGTGTGTGTGTGTGTGTGTGTGTGTGTGTTGAAAGGAAGGTAGTAGGAAATATTGTACTTTGTACACAACAGTGGGCAAGGCTGACTAGATATCTTTGGAATTAAGATAATAGTGCAGTTGAATTTTACTAAATCTATACTAAATATTCAGGACAATTTTGTGTACTTAGTGAACAGACCTAGAATATTCAAATTTCTTTTTCGGCCACTAATTATTTATTATTGGGGGCGGGGGATTGGGGGGGGGGGGGAGTGGGAATTCTGCTAAATAATAATATTTCAATAATTATTCTTGTCAGTATTCGGGCAAAGAGGTATAAAGTTATAGTTGTTTAAGGTTAACAGTTTAGACTTAGGTAGTGGTTTCAATTACATTTTTTTTAATTGGATATGGAACCAGTAAATGCTAGAAATTACGCCATCCCCATTCACTGTTTTGAAAAGGTTGTGGAAGAGTTAAAACAACTACAAAAAGTTTAAAGTTTAATTCCTGCAGCATGATGATATTATTAAAGTCATAAATTAGCCTCTTCAGTAACAGGTCCTGTCTGCTTGGCGCTACGACAGTTATAGGGACCCACTCTAATATACTTTAATCCCAGAAGCTCTTTTTTCGCCTGACTCTCCAGGCTCCGGCTCTGCAATTTCTATGCCTTATTCTCTCTCCAGTTCCTCGTCTTCTTCTCTCCCCACCCTCTACGTTGCAACTTGAAGATGGTGCCACGCACAAAGCAAAATCCATTGAAAATGTTTTGTCAATGCAGGAAGTAAACGGTCACCCTAGTATTGCCTGCTTGCTAGGGAAGAGGTAGAGGATGTCCTGACGGAGTTCATACGCCTGGCACCGCTCCACCCGCTAACCAGACGTTCCACCTTCACAACTGTATAACTTGCAGTCCATCAGCCAATAGGCACGTAGCTCATGTGATGAGAAGAGGGAAAATACAGTATGTTGTGATCACTAAAACATTCTATGCAAAGAGGGACAGAGGAAGACAACGCAAGAAGATTTTTGTAGGCCTTTTGTCAAGGCATGGAGGGGTGTCAACACACGAGCTGATACACGCAGCTTCAGACTGCTGATTATGGAAAGGCATGATCACTAAACTCCAGTCGTCCAGGCACTAGATGATGATGATGATATACCTATATACGCATTCTAATCTCGAGCTTATTTATAGTGGGGAGTACTCAAGGGACGGCCGAGAAACCCAAATAATAGGTTTGTCAGAACAAATGCGGAGTCGTGGTGACGTAACGTCAAGCTAATGACGTCAACGTCCTATCTGTAGAAGGCGTTGGCTAAACTTAACAAATGCTGAACGAGAGAAAGAGAAAAACCCGAAAGTAGTATTTGGTTGTACACAAACAATGACAAAAGATAAAATGTGCTTGTAAGGCTTGTTTCAACGTTTACCTTTTTGGCAACGCCTTTCCCAATAGAAGTCTGGATGTAGAGTCTCTCCTTTGCAGAAATACATGGATGTTTAGCTGGAGTATCAGCGACAAGTAAGTGCCAGGCAACCACCCATAACAAGTTGAAAATACCTGTATGGTATATGGATCATACGTCCTATCTCAGTCATCATCATCACCACTACCACGACTACTATCATCAT